TTCTGAGCCGATTATCTCCGCTGAGCCAGCTGCCGCTGAACCGATCGGAACCGCCCAAACCGTTGATCATATTACAGCCGCTTTAGCATCTGTTGAGGCTGATGATGCTGCAATGCGTATCAACGCTGGTACACATTTATGCATTATTTGCTATGAAGATCTATATAATCGCGTTGAGCCTGAATATAAAGCCCATGCTACAGCATGTGGGCACATTTTTTGCTTGCAGTGTATTGAGAAAGTAAGAGATGCAAGAGGCTCTTGTCCAACATGTAACACGTCGTTGACAGATCAAAAACTAGTGCCATTGTACCCCGAAATTAACTACGCGTTTAAATAATAAAAAATTGTTTATGTTTAATTTGCGTCGTTAGGAGAAACGGGAAAGTAAGACAGATGGAAAAGATGAAGAGAGAGAGAGAGAGAGAGAGAGACAGAGCGATATATTAAAGAGATATCATTATTTACATTTTTCTAGTATAACCATGATCGAAATTGCGATTTTTCCATAAATTTGTATCATTTTTGTGTCAATTTGCGTTTTATAGTGGAAAATAAACAAAACACATTTTGTGAAAATCGCGTTTTATTTATGAAATTCACGTTTTTTCAGTGAAATATAATCGAAATTTGCGATTTTTCCATAAATTTGCATCATTTTTGTGTCAATTCGCTTTTTATAGTGGAAAATAAACAAAACACATTTTGTGAAAATCGCGTTTCATTTATGAAATTCACGTTTTTTCAGTGAAATATAATCGAAATTTGTGATTTTTCCATGAATTTGTATCATTTTTGTGTCAATTTGCGTTTTATTGTGGAAAATAAACAAAACACATTTTGTGAAAATCGCGTTTTATTTATGAAATTCACGTTTTTTCAGTGAAATATAACGATGTTTTCGGAAATTTTGCATCATTATTGTTTCAAATTTGCATTTTCAAGTAGACACGTGCTTGAAATTACGATTTTCCATAAACTTTCGAGTTAAAAACAATGAATGCTGTAGAAACATGATTGAAATTACATTTTTCCTTTATCTCGAAGTTTCGCTCACTCGTTCCACTCGTTCGGCGAAACTTCGAGTCAATTTTTACTTCGTAAAAATTGTCTCTGACTTTTTTCCCCTAGTTTCAATAGGTTGTTTATTTTTGCATTCATCTCAATGTTTCAATGGGAAATGGATAATGGTAAAAAGGTATGGCCGAAAAAAGTGAATAATAAATGAATAAAACACAATTTTCTGTAGAAATTGTGTTTTATTCATTTATTTTTCATTTTTCGTCTCACCCCTTATAACCATTATCCAATTTCCATTGAAACGTCACGCTAAATTCAATAAGAATGCGTTTGTTAATTCCAATTCAACGCGTTAATTCCAATTCAACTCAATGGGGTTCAATGAGAATGCTACACCACGTGGCCCGCATCAAATTCAAGTCAATTGAATTCCAATTCAATTTGATAACAGCACCACGTGGTTTGAATTGGAATCCAATTGAGCCAGAAGTCTCATTGACACACTACTTTCAATTTCGTTGAAGTTCACATTATGTCATTCCATAACCATTTAACTGATGGACAAGATTAATTCAATGTCATTCAAATCTATTAAGTCAATCTAACACAAATATTTTTCAAACTCATTTTCAGTGCTTGCTGCACCCTTGAAAAAATTTTCAACGTGAAGGAAGGACTGCGTTTTTTGGAGAAATACAAGGATCGAAAAACTGGATTCGTTGGAGCCGTGAAAGAAATGAGCCTGGTTCTATTACAATCGCAAATTCAGACAGAAAACAAAGATTTGCTTGAGGTTATCGAAAAATACAAGACATACTGAAAGCGAGTTCACATTATGCATGTTCAATGATGACCAAAATGAAGTGTTAATTTAAAAAAAATGGAAATTGAAATAAATTTGTGTCTTAATTGAAAATGTGTTTATTGTTATTTTTACGACGTTAAATAATATTCAACAATGGTGAAAAATGGCATTCGAAAAAAAATCTTCTGAATTTCTTTGTTAAATGTTATCCACTGCACATACAAAATGTGTATTACTGTGTCAAAGTTGATTGAAGGTCGGGTCGACAATGCGATGAGCTCTTCAGTCGAAAGAGAAACCTCTATTATTCGAGTCTTCATCGTCTTTTTTAATTTTTTGGATTGTTTGTTCTTTAGTACGCGAAAACTTCTTCTCGCAGATTGCAATGACCCATTCTGGTAATAAAATGGTCCAAAACAGATTTTCGTACTGAAAAGAAAGAAAGAAATAATAGAATTAGATGAGAGTAATGAATAAACATACAGAACAACTCACGGTTCGATTTCCAATGTATTTTTCCTCATCGTCGATGAATGCACTTAGAATGGATGAATACATCGCCTGTTGTTGTTCGGGTGACACAACTTGCCATAGAACTGTGAGGTAATCGTATCCATTTCCAACGTTGAAGCGATCCAGCTTAAATCGACGCTGGTTGAAGATACTTTGAAGCAATGGCTTGAAATCATTCAAAGTGATCAGGATGTCACCTATTGGTACATTTTTCAGAGTCAACACGTCATTCAATTGATCAGATGCATGTATGGCCTCTTGTTCACTGATGACCACTTCAATTTCTGCAATTGCTTTCTTGAAGGTCGGAGTTTTGTTTTTGGTAGAAAATCTTTCTTTACCTTCCGAATAGTCTGTGATTTGATCTGATGACAGCCAAGCACTATGAATGAACAGTGAACACAATAGATCAAAAACGATTGAATGAAGCACAAAATTATTTCAGTTTAAAAAAAGAAAATTACTTACAAATTATAAGTACCGAAAAAGTAGACGCAAGTTAACGGTTTTTTCGGTTTTCCAATATTCTCTGGTGGAATCGGACAAATTTTTGCTGGCCACGCTGAAAAACCTTTCATTTTTGCCCAAACGAAATTTTTTGAACACATTTTTAATAAATGAAATTTTAAAAATCCAAACCAAGATGAAAATGTAAACTATGAAAATGTAATGATTGTTATATGATGTGATGTCGACGTCGTACTAAATGCTTTATGGACAAAACGTTTAAAGCGGCAAATAAATTCACCAACAAGTACGTGCTTTGCATGTATACACAATACACATACTGACGATGAAGAGGCGAAATCGATAGCAATACACTACGGTGAAGTGTACACACAGACATATGCACAATTTGTAAAATACATTCTAAAGTCTTTCTCGGCATTCTTCTCGGTCAATGTGCTGACTCAGCACTGCTGAGAAAGTCTGCAGCTATGCAGAGACTTTCTCGGCAATTCTGTCAATCGATGTGCCGAGAGAGTGTGACGTCCTATAAAGAATTTCTCGGCAATCGTGTCAATCGAAGTGCCGAGAAAGTCTGACGTTATGATAGGACTTTCTCGGCAAGCTGCCGACGGCAACCTCGTCGATCGATGTGCTGAAAAGTCCCACGTTCTGAGAAGATTAGCCGAATAAGGTTTTACATTTTATTTTTATTTTCATTTAATTTTTATTGGAAATTTTCATTTACATTTTAAAATGAATTATTTTAAGTACATATTTTATGAGAAACGCTTGTTTTTTATTTTGAATTTGCGATTTCGATTTATAACAAATTTTACATTGATTTTGTTTTGATGAATATTTTTTATTTTTTATTGAATATTTTCGTCAATTTGCATTCCAAATTGATACACGTTTCGAGCGAATGTACGTTTAGGCATGTGAGTCAAATGAGCCTTCGACTTTCTTTCCATGGGATACGTAGATATCATATAGTTCATTGAGCATCTGTGAAAGAAAGAATAATGCAATTTTTAAATATATGAACAGTTGTAATAACAAAGTGTTCTTACCCGCATATCATCATTTGCACGTTGCTCATGTAGCTCTCTTAAAAGAGCTGGAATATATTCCAGTACACTTTCCTGGTGAGGATGGTCCTGTTTTGCTTTCAGAGTGAGCAAGTTTACCAGTTCGGCTGTAGAAAATCCGAACATTTGCGTGGAAGAAACATTTTCCGAGTTTCCTTGAGTGAAAAGAAGGAACAATTAAATTTTCTAACTTGATTTTGAATTATTTCAAATATTTCTAAAAAGCAATAATCATTACCTTTCTCAAAAAATGGTCGATATTTCAATATCCTGTCTTTTTGTTCATTTTTAGTCATATCAATTTGATATTGATTCCAAGCGCTGTCGATTTCATGTTGAGTTAAACCTTCGTCTACTTTGTTTTCAAGGAGAGAGTCATGAGTATGATAGCTGTAAATCAGGTGTCCATTGTTTTGCAATTGTGTTGCGAGAATTGGATCTTCTGGAATAATCACTTCTGGTCTTTTGTCTTGTGGGCTGATTCGATCTATACTATAATACTCGCTCAATTCGTGTTGTTTATAATGCCGATCAATTTGGTGCTCATCAATAACTCGCTTTGAAATAGACAACTTTGTCACTTGCCTTTTGTAAACTTGTTCTTCTATCGAACCAAGAGCAATGAGACGGTAAATGAAACAAGGTTTTTCTTGGCCCAAGCGATAAGCTCTGAATACACATTGAGTCTGTTAATAAATGAAAGTAAACTACAAAGAGTGTTATTTTGCTGCTAAGTAGGCCTAAGCTGAGCTGAATTTGCTGACTCATGCACCTGAAGCGTTATTTTACCGCACTTATGGTTCAAACTTAGCTCAGCTCAGGCCTGCTCAGCAGTAAATATGCACTCTCTGGTAAATTATTACCAGTAAATCTTACATCATGAGACGGATTCCAACATGGATCAAAAATAATTACGCGGTTGGCACCAGTCAAATTTATGCCCAAGCCTCCAGCCATCGTTGAAATGAGAAAAAGTCTGGAATGCCAAATGTCATTATATTTTATATGAAATTTTTTTCATCAATATAAACGTTTCGATAACGAACCTTGCCTGTGAATTTTTGGTATCATTGAAGCGTTCACAGTATAGTTTGCGCTTTTCGATGTTCGTGTTTCCATCCAAACGGAAATAATCGACGCCTGGTTTCCAATTCATTCCATCGATCACGGCAAGGAAGTGTTCAATCATATTAAGCGATTCCAGGCTTTGCGAAAATACCAACAACTTATCGTTGCATGCGTCTTCCAAAATTGAAAACAACAAAACCAGTTTTCCCGAGCATTGAATGCTATCAAACTCTTCTATCCGTTGGCTGAACGGTACTTTCCACCAATCATCATTTATGTGGGTTTTTGTCGGTGTGTCTATTTTTCAAACATTGGAATATTGCAGAACTTCACATATTTTTATTTAATTTGTAAAATATTTTTCATTACCTGTTTCCATAACAGATTCCGATGCGCTCTCCTCAGAACTATTATCGGAAATTAAATTAACCAAACCGAAATCCTTGCCTTTGCCAGCAGATTTTTCGCAAAATGATTCTTCATCTTCACTTTCTTCACTATCTGGCGTAGTTTTATCTGATTTGTTTATTACTACCCATGGATGGGCACAAATTCTGAGCAGGCTACGAAAGTCATGAAAAAACTCCGACGAATTGGGGCTCATAATGTTTGTGATTGCGCATTTCGTTGCATTTACGGAATATTTGATATAATACTGCAATGAAAATTTCATAAAGTTTGTTGAAATATATACAAAACGACAAGTCACATATCATACCCTGTATAAATCAATTTGCAATGGAGTCAGTTGAATGTATAGGACGTATTCATGTTTGGTTGGGAGCATTTTATCCAAAACTGTCGTATCCAGTCGTTGTACGCATCCATCTAGTAGTTTGTGAAGTATATGTGACCGTGCTTTCATCATTTTGATGTCAGCGTGACTTGAGTTTTGATATTGGCCGTTTGTGATGGGGTGGACAAATCGATTTCGGTATTCCTTCAATGTGCCAAGAAGGTGGGGCTTTACAAAGTTGACCATGCAAAAATATTCTTCTAGATTATTTTGAAGTGGTGTGCCGGTAAGTGCAATTCTCCGCATTGTTGTTATGGCGGTCAAATATTCACTCAAAGTGGTTCTGTCGTTTTTTAATAAGTGACCTTCGTCACACACGACCAAATCCGGTCCTGGGTCAATCAGGTACCTTTCAAAGACTTTTTCAATGCTTGTTCCTTGCCGGCTGTCATCAACTAATGTTTTAAATAATTCATAATTAATTATGAGCACACCACCGTCCTTAAACCATTCCGATACGCGTTGTTCGCGTTCACTCTTCGTTTTGAGTCTGAGAATGTCATGAACGAAAAAAAAGACGAAAAAAATAATGACGAAAAAAATGGCGAAAAAAAATGTCGAAAAAACTAACTTTGAAATCTGCTGAACTTTAAAATTGGTGTTTTGGCTGCAATGAGGTAGCCACTTCCTGAACTCGTTTTCCCAGTTCAAAACTAGAGACAACGGGCAAAGAATCAACACCTTGCTAATATTGGTTGAATGTCTGTACGTTAGCAGCGAGTGAATCAACGCGATAACTTGTAGAGATTTTCCTAAATAATTTATCATTAAATTGGTTTGAAATTTTGTTTTTTTTTTAACATTGTCAAAACTCACCTAAACCCATGCAATGGGCTAAAATGCAGCCACCGCCAGCTGAACTAGAGAGCTGCTCAATCGATTCACACGTGGCGTTAAACATAAACTTCACACCTTCTGTCTGATATGGCTTCAGGTGGGAGTTCAACTTTTCATCGATCATTACCAAATCTTGTTTAGATTGGAAATCTAAAACAAGATTATCTATACCGAATTGTTCATCGAGCCATTCCTCTTTTTCAGCAAGACGTTCTTTTCTTTCTTCTTCACTTTCAATAAACAACACCATTGATTATAAAATAAATAAAGTCACTGTGCTTCAATCCTCTTTTCCATTATAGATTGTGCACATCGCGGTCACGCCCAAAAACATTCCAAAACCCACGAACTGGCACAGATACGCAAGTCTTCAACTTCGAATTGACCGACCTCAGTGGAACGATTACCGTAACAATTCAAGTCACACTTGTTATATTGTGTATACAATCGCAATCGAATGTTTGTAAAATTGTTAGCAAAAAAACAACAGAGGAGATTTTGTTGCAAGACAACAAAACGAAATAAACATGTCTGTCTAGAATGCATTCAGAGATAACATCCGCTTTCTGCGATAAAAATTGATAACTTTTGTTTTGATGTATAATTGTTTGTACAAATTAATCAGTTAGGGTTAGAAACATTGTTTGGCTATTGAAATTGTCAGCGCCACCTGAAACCAAATCGAGAGCTACTCTCTGATAGTAGCGGCAAGGTCAATCTAAGTCAAAAATGCCTTTTCAAGGGCTGATGTCTTGGTAAAAGTTGTAGATATTTTATTTTATTTTATTTTATTTATTACGAAGCCTACATTTATGCCAATATGTGTTCACAGCAAGCTGAGAAACGAAAATTCAAAGTGT